AAACGAGCACTGTTCCTCCTTTGCCACTCCCTCCCCGCGGGACCGGTCCCGCACTGTTTTATTTTTTCTTCTTTCCTTTTTCCTTTTCTCCTATGAGATTTTTGGCATCTTTGTCTTTCGAAGAGGGTGGTGTTCTGTTGGAGTTCAGCAGGTGCTCTGGTTGGTTGAGTGGGTCCATAGATGTGAGTTTTGGTGTATTTGTGGGAGAGGGTGAACTACAAGCGTCCCTCTACTCCGCCATCTTGCCTCTCCTCCTCAACCTCATTTTTAAGAGCAAGAGTCAGTTGGTCTGTCCTCACAATTATTGCCTCTCTCATTTTATTCTGAGTCAGGTGAGAAGTGAAGTTCTCTCCAGTGTTTAATGTTATGCTAATGCAGTGAAAGAACATGGTTTTGTAATTTGAAGTCTTTGTTGTTGAAAGATATTAGAGACATTGAAAGAACACTTTTTTGATTCAGGTAAGACCATTAGTGTTAGTGATGCTCTTGTCAAATCCTGTAGCCCAGGCTCATCTTTCCAGCCTCAGCTCCTGTTGCATTCACACTCAGTTCTGTGAATGTTTACAGTTACTTCATGTGATTGATTTTGTCACAACCAGGCTTTGCCCCAGCCATTACACTCCTGAGTATCTTACACAATGTGGGGCATTACTCTTGCCTGCATAGTAGCTGCATCATCAAAATCCTTTTATCAGTAGAGTGACATAATTAAAGCTACACTTGTGCAGACTATAGTGAGAAGTCTCTCCTACTTTCTCCAGGATAGTAGTTGCCTTCTGTTATCAGCAGTTTCCATAGATAGAGCAGGTACTAGCTAGACACATAACTCTTCTTAGACACTGATATCACTTGTTTGATAAAATCCCACAGACCCTTAGGATTTCATTTACATGGAGAAAACTATCAAATGCCAGAGACTGTGGCACTGAGTACCACGGGTGATAGAGAGGGGAGAAATCACTGTTTCCACTGCAGTGCCCCCTGTAAAGCATTTCTGGAGCATCTCCCTTCATCTTTTCTCCATGTGCTCAGAAACCAATTTAAATGCAAAGTAAAAACAGGACTAAATACATTTTCATCAAGTAAACAGTACCATTTGACTTCAGAGAAGCAAAAGCAAACAATTTAAACTCCTTTAGAAACTATGAGTAATTGAAAGGCAGGAGCCTTAAGAACTCTGAACAGTCAGTGAAGTGTTCCCTTAAAAGTTAGGTACAAGGACCTTGCTGTGGCCAGAATTTTCCTATGTTGCTTGTAGTTATCTGCCTACCTATTAATTCTATTGCCTTATTAATTGAAAGACTCTCACTTTTGTAAAAATAGATGAAATTAGTTCTCTTACTTGATTAAATCAGTTCTGGGGGAA